TCGTAGTCCCAGGTTTTACTCCCATTCTGTGCTGAGTTAATTGATCTCAGTCTCCACAATTGGCTTCCAACCCTATATTGGGAAGGGGACATACAGCAACACCAACTTGATTTGTTTAGCTCCTTTCATGCAGGATAGCGCCTTGGAGCGATTCGCAGTGGCGGAGATGGATGCTGAGAAGTGACCACAGGCAAAGTTGAAGAGATAGGTCTTCAGATGGGATTTAAAGATTGATAAAGAGGGGCTGTGGCAAAGGGATTGAGGCAGGGAGACCCAAAGCCAAATACAGCTGGAGTTTGCTGCTCTTGTTTGGTATCTAGGGACCCCTGCTGCAGGTTTCCTCTACGTGGATGACAAGTGAGGATAGGATTGGGCTCAATGGCTTATTTCAGTACCCTCATTGTCAAATAGACTAGCGACAATCATTGGAAACACTCCTGAATTTTGGCCATTAGGGAATGGTTCCCAGAGGGAAAAGCCCATGAAACCTTACCTCAGACAAAGGGGGTGGGGGGGAGGGAAAGTCTAATGTCTTCATGACAGGAGGAGAGGTAAAAAATGCAGGAAGAAAAAAGTCATAAAAATACATGCAATAGTAAAACCCATTTGCACAGCTGCTTTCCTTCTGTACTAAACCTCCGTCTATTGTAATCCGATAGGAACACTTAACCACAAAGTTCTGCTTTTTTGTCCAAACCACAGCAACAGCTCACGGAAGGGTGCAAGCCATCCTAAAGCATCTTTGTAAAGATAGCATTGATCTGACAGGGGTGGGTAGAGCTGTAGGTTAATGAACTCAGTGTCTGACCCTTCTGAGGGCTAATAAATCTTGCACCGGCACCGTTTGATATGGTTTTGTTCTTATGGAAACAGTATACGGGTTCAAGTAAAAGAAGACATTGATAGTGTTCTCTATTAACAGGAAGATGGGTGGAGTAACTCAAATGGTATAGTGGGTAAAGGCAGCTGGGCCAAGAGAAGTGACAGGTTCAAATTAGGATCATAGAAATTCATAGTGCAGAAGGAGGCCATACCACCCACCAAATCTGCATTGGCTCTTAGAGCAATCTGCTCATACATGGCTCCACTCTATCTTCAATGCTCTTTCAAGTCTTTTTTTCTTTCATGTACCTGTCCATTTCCCTCTTAAAACTCACAAGAGGGCTAGCAACAAAGTAATGTTTGGGCAGCTGGGTGTCTGACATTTTTAACTATGGCGATGGAAACTCATCGCCATGGTTAAAAATATCTACCCTTGACTGAGATGTCTATGTATGCATTGAAATTTCCCTTTGTTTGGAATTGAACATTCACTGAAGGGAATGTTCCCTATGTACTTAAACCTGGAAAGTATGAAATGCAGATTGGAGAGAGAAAGCCAAGCCTTTGGGACATTAGAGTTGCATTGGAATATTGTTCAAGTGTAACCAACACCACCAACAAATTACATTTATATAGCACTTTTCACATGGGGAGCTACTTGTTAAGGTTTTGGCTTGAAGGGTTAACAGGAAGAATTCCTGCCTCCATGGAAGCCAGCAAATAAATTAGCTGATCTCAGCCAGAGTCAGTGATGTATTTTGTCATCGTGTCTCCACACGCCTGATAATAATCCCTCCAAAAAGCAAAACAATAATAAATTAGTCATTTTCAATCCACAACTGTTTGTGGGACACTGCTGTGCACAATTGGCTGTATACACAATATATGGTCAATTCACTTTTACTGTATATTCTGTGAAGCGCTTTGAGACGTCTAGAAGACGTGAACAGCGCTATATCAAATGCAAGGATTATTATTATTATTATGATTTGGTTTGCAGAAATGAAAGTAGCTGCTACTCAAGCTCTGCACTTCCAACTCATGGAACCATTGCTCAATGGGAAGTGACGTGTGTCCAAGCTACAAACAGGAAGATGGTGGCAATGCTCTTATGCATTACATGCGGAGCTGTATTGCTCACCAAGAAGCTCGCACTGAGTTCCTGATACCCTCCACCTAGTGAGGGCTCAAACCTGCGCTTGCCAGATGCCAAACAAACAACTAGTGACTATCTCCCTTGGGGGCTGGAGTGGGTGGAGGTAACCAAGGTCACTTTGAGGCTGAACTGCTGAATGTCAAAATCAAACCAGCCCTCTTTGAAGGTCTTGGTCGTCCGGTTCCTGAGCCATGCAGGTTTGCAGTATTCCAGGGCACTGCTGATCACAGCACAGCCAGCCTGACTCATCAGCAGGACTTGGAAAGGCAGACCAATTAATAGAGACAAGGGCTCTTCCCACTCAGCTCCTGTTAACCCTGAAAGCCAAAGCCCTACTGGTAGGGTGGTGCTAGCTGGACAAGCTGTGGGAAAGCTTGCCAGACAGTAATATCAATGGCAAGCTATGTGGTTTTCGATGATTAGATCAAGTAGTACCCCAGCACACACTCTGGAGTCCCCAAACTTCGGCTGTTGTCAACCTGCGCCTAATACTTTCCGGAATTAGATAAGCAGGATGTGTTCCTCCGGGGAGAGAGTGCACATTCCATTCCAACCATCTATCTCTGGGATTTCCATGTGTAGGTAGGATATGTGGAATTCTCAGTTTGGTTTGGGTACGCTTAAGCTTGGTGATAGGTTTCTGCATGTGTCTGACACCCGGCTGACCAAAAAAAAAAAAAATTCTATTTAGTTTCATAGCCTCAAAATCAACTGTTGAGTGATTGCTGTACATAACTGCAATGCTTAAATAGTATTAAAAGCAATAAATAAGTACTATTCCAGTATTGTGGAGTGTCCTATTCATACGCTTAATCTATTGTTCATCTATTTTATTTTAAACAAGAAATACAGAGTTTATAGGACACTAGAACAATTTTTATTTCATTGAGACCATGGATCACTGGTAGTGTTCAAAGCAATCATGTTTTTACATTTTATTTTAGAGGCCTAAGAATTGTGTTTCAATAACACACATCAGAGAAACGACTTATAAATGTCAGTTTCCTGACATTCCTGTCACTTCTTGTCATTAAGGTATCAACCTTGCTCAGTTGGTAGCACTCTCACCTTTGAGTCAGCAGGTTGTGGGTCCAAACTTTGAGCTCAAAGTCTAGGCTTACACTTCAATGTAGTGCTGAGGTATGTTGCATTGTCAGAGCTGCCATTCTTTGGATGAGATGTTAAACTAAGTTCCCATCTGCCTGTTCAGGTACACGTTAAAATACCGTTGCACTTGTTGAAAAGAAAGAGAGTTTCTCCTGGTGTCCTAACCAACAATCCCGTAAATAAAATTAGTCGTTGGCTATTTGTGGGCTATTGCTGTATGTAAATTGACTGCCACATTTCCTAAAAATGCAGTCAATTACAGATATTAAAATGCAATTCACAGTTTACATGAAATCCTATGAAGCACTCTGAGACATCTCGACGACGAGAAAAGCTACTATATCAAATGCAAAATTTATTATTATTTGTTTATTGTTGATACGTTTTAAATAATCCTTGTATTGTGATGCAGCATCTTATCATGTTGTTGAACGTCTCAAGGTGCTCCACAGGATTTACTGTAATCTGTAGTGACTGTGCATTGCAGCCAATGGCAACCAATCTGCAGACCGTAATGTTCCACAAACAACCCAAATCTGCTTCAAAAACAGCAATCCTTGCAATCCAAATAAATAGCAATCCTTGCAATCCAAATAATAATCCTTGCATTTGATGTAGTGCGTGTCATGTCCCAAAGTGCTAGACGGATATAGTGTAAAGTGATGTGACTCTAATTTTATAAGCAAATGTGGAAGTCAATTTTCGCAGAACAATGTCCAACAAACAGCCATGAAATGAATAACAAAATGCCCGAAAGCAGTGAGCAAGAATTTTCAATTCAGGGGGCAGCCTGGTGTTAGAATGGATGAAGGGATTGCCACTATGTTTAATGGCAATTCGCTCCACCCCACATGCTACTATTGGCATTTCACCCTATCAAGCGATTAATGAGGCTACCAGGTTGTACAGTAGTGATGACTAAACAAGCCCTCGAACAATTAGAGGGTAATGTTAAATTGCAGGGAACTACGCAGGAGACATGGCTGAAAGAGATGCTAAAGATCATACAGGAAACCAACAGGTTTGTGGCTACAAACACTGGTAAGGCGAAACAAAATATGAAGCAACAATTTGACACTACCGTTAACCATGTGGAGTATGAAATTGGAGATGAAGTCATGGTCCGCGTGTATGGGAAAAAGGAATCTCCTTTTGCCCCGCGATGGAAAGGGCCTTTTGAAATTTTGGAAAAGGCAAGCCCGGCAGTATATTTAACTGCCATGCCTTTGTCTTCTAAATTGACTAAATAGTACCATGTGACTCAACTCAAAACTGTGAAGAAGGGAAAAGGGTAAACTGATGACTGAATATATGCTACATTTGTATTTTGCAGGCTCCAACCGAGTAATTACCGGATCTTCTGTATCAATATGGATCTGGATTGAATTACTGGAGGCCTGGTGCTTGGCGTTTTAATACTACTAATCCAGAACTCCCATGTTTACTGCCATGATAACCCCTTTGATGGAAACCTCTATAATACTTTCTTATTAGCAGCTTATAGATATGCACAAAATAACCAGGCGTCTAGTTGTTATGTAGGCGCTAATATACCATTTATACTTTCTATGCTTTTATATTATCTGTCTTTTGTACTATCAAGTTGTGTAACCTTATATTATTTTCCTGATTTTATATTATATTCTTTTTGTAGTTTTGTGATACCTCATGTTCATTCGGTATCAAGGTGGGGACTGTTAGAATTGACACTTTTTGTATGATGTTAGAATCATAATAAATTAAGTGTGGGGGGCAACTGGACTGAAACTCATGAGTTTCCCAGGATCACGTGACTGTCTCAAGGATAAGATGTGTACTACTGCCCTGCAAGCACACAAGATAACAGACTGTCTCAAGGGCAGTGTGTTTGTGTGTGTGAGGCACGTACACTCCATGAGATGTTCACTTGAACCCAGCATGATTTTGGCCAGGTGACCTAATGTCCGCACCATGATTGGATGGACACAAGCTTAAGACACCGTGCCAGACCAAGATCGGCGCCCAGTTCAGTACCTACCAATGATGGAAGACTGAGAGCTAGAAGGCAGAAGTAGATGATCACGAGGAGGGTTTACGTGGTACTGTTGTTCTGTTAGTGAATCTATTGATTGTGCTCACTTGCCCACGCCCATCGGGAACTTGAACAGATCCTGGAGTTTAATAAACACCACTCTGGTTGCAAACAGTGGTTGTGTTTGATTGGAATTCAAAAGAAGGTTTTTCCTTAACACTGGCAAGCTAGTCCTGATTGACAGGTCAGTTATCACCAATGTACTGTGAAGGCCATGTGCTGTGGCATCCCGTAACGTGTTTGTGTTAATCAACACAGGGAGTGCGCGCACAAGGAACGTGTATAAAATGCCACAAACTTTACCACAATGTCTTTAACTGGAACAGTGGAGGGATGTCAGAGGTAAACTAACTCTTCTGTTGACCTTGAAGAAGGTTGTCAGATTGTGGTGCTGGAGCGTGAGACAATTGTTAGCCTCCACAAGGCTTATTTAGCGATCAGTCTAATGCTCCAGCCCACAGGTTGAGAACAGGGCTTGCTCTTCATGGGAACCCACTACACTTCATCTTCAGCATCACAGGTTGACAGAAAATCACTTTCATTGCTCAGATGTGTACTTATTTTCGAAGCCACAGAGTGTATCCAGTCCTCAAAGGTTTTTAATACAAAATAAAGTGAAAGGGTATCATGGAATAACCATTGCAAATAACCTGTAACTTCACGGGATGCTAGATGCTGACTTTAATCCTACACAGTGTTAGAAAAATCCAAATAAGAGACACTCGCTCGAATGGATTATATTGGTTGTTTAATACTCAGAATCCCAATGGGTTAATACACTCGGTTAATTACCCACAGGCACGGCCATCGTCCCAACTATCTACTAGTTACGATCGTACTGGACACATAATTTCTGTGAGTACCACGGCCACCGTCCCAACTATCTACTAGTTACGGTCGTACCGGACTCCTAATTTCTGCGAGTACCACGGCCACCGTCCCAACTATTTACTAGTTACGGTCGTACCGGACTCATAAATATGTCAACTGCCGAGTGTATTAATTCAGAGTATCCTGCCGAATCCCAAATTGTTAGAAAATAAAATCAGCCAAATCTGTAAGGAAATAACGCTAATTCCTTTAACCAGATATCAGACTGTTTTATTAGTATTCGTTTGTTATTCCCCAATATCCCAATGGGTCAGACCAAAGGCCGGTACAATCAACAGATCTTATAACAGAATAACACCAGAATAATAATCTAATATAGATATCTCGAGTTCAACACTGTCTTTACAGCACACAAGCTTGATTCTTCATGCTTTCAGTCTTCTTGCTTACAGCTTTCAATCTTCCATCTGATATTCTCAGTCTTAGTGTTTCTAGCTTTCCATCTCCCGCACCCTTGTCTCCGCAGCCCGGGATGGCCCCATCTCCCGTATCCTTGTCTCCGCGACCCGGGACGTCCCCATCTCCCGTACCCTTGTCTCCGCGACCCGGGACGGCCCCATCTCCCGTATCCTTGTCTCCGCGACCCGGGACGGCCCCATCTCCCGTATCCCTGTCTCCGCGACCCGAGACGGCCCCGTTCACTAAGTTAATGGAACTCTTATACCGATGTTCATTCAATCATGGTGCGGGCATTAGGTCACCTGGTCGAAATCATGCTGGGTTCACGTGCCTCAGCACACATACACATTGTCCTTAAGACCCCTGTTATCTGATCTAATTGTCTAAGATAGAGGATTGATCAGTTTTAGGGCTGTATCTGGTGCTCATTATTTTGTGGTGTGGGATCATTAGTACATTCCTTTTAAGTGACTGGTTATTTCTTATCAGTATCCCGGGATGGTACCAAGGTTCCTCTAGTTTAAGCAACTTGCTCGTTAGCTGCTATTCTTGAGGGTTGCCTTTTGTTGCTCTTGAGTGTTAATCATGAGTGTCAGTCCAGTTGCCCCCCACACTTAACTTAAAAGTTAACCCATTCGCAACATCTATTATGATTCTAACATTATACAAAAAGTGTAAATTCTAACAACAGGTCAAAGCATTGATAAACTTAACCCATTCTCCCACATCTCGAGCTGGCATAGCTCTGAACAAATGTCTTGTACAATTTATTTCCGTACCCCAAGAATTTCAATTTAATAAGATAATATGGTATATTGTGTGATATTTGTTGAATCTATTGAACGTCAGTGGTTAAATGTGGCACAAAAAGTGCTTCAATAAGATATAATAATAATGCTTGCATTTGATATAGCGCATTATCATGTTGTTCAGGTGTTTTAAAGCGTTTCACAGTATATACTGTAAAGTGTGGTGATTGTGTAATTTATGGGTGAAATGTCTTTTGTGAATATGTTGCATATTTGGTATTATGTAGATACAGTAATGTTAACAAAAAATAGATTAAAAAGTGCAGGTCTGAAATTGGTAACAGAAATTGATTGAATTTGGGTTGAAGTGATTTATTAATTCTAAGTTAAGAATTCAGTCTTCTCCAAGTTCACACTGAAATAGAAAGAATTTTAGTGAAAATGAAAACTATTGTGTAGGTGATTGAGGCTAGGTGAATGCTTTAGTAATAGATTTAGTATTTATCACCGAAGCACTGATTGTCCAGCGCCTTGGGACGTTCTCCCTACGTGAAAGGCGCTTTACAAAAGTAATTTTGTTGTTGTTGTAGTACTATTATTACTTGGTTTGTTAGTTCCATTTACCTCCAAAAAGGGGCCGACTCAGCTGTATTTGTCAAGATGATTTTAAGTAATATGTAAACATGCCGGGAAGGTTGTTTTCATTTTTGGATAAACTACTCCCATACAGTGGAATAACAGGATCAGAACAAGTAACCTTGTAGAGCTTGTAAAAGGGATATCAGCTGTTCCTTCCCTGCAATTTGAGACCATGAAGATGCTGTGATTTGGTGACAAATCGTACAACTTTCAAAAGCATTGCACAGCTGCAGTTTAATTGAGGTCACAGCTACAAGGAGTTAGCAAACATCTCTCAGCAATGTATACGTTTTGATCGCAAAGGTAGTGCTGTTAGCATTATTATGGCATTGAGCCAGGTTGGCAATCATCAGCTTGGCACAACAAAACCTATCATGAGAGGACATAGAGAATCGCTATACTTTATCCATCAATTGTTCTCTCTCCTCATTTCTCGAAAGCAGCTGACTACTCTTTCCCTCTCCTGGGGTATGATTCCATAGGCTCCCCTCTCCCATTAACCATTAGTTTATGTGTGAGGGTTGACAATGAATGCTGACAGGTGATCCAACAAAATGAGACAGATTCTGCCCTCACCTGATATTTGTTTCACCCACAAAATATACAGTCAATCCACTTCACAGTATATTCCATAAAGCTCTTTGAGACGTCTCAACGACACGATAAGGTGCTATATCAAATGCCAGGATTATTATGTAATGTTTTGTGGAAGATGTTTAGGTGGGTGGTTAATTTTGCTGTTTTTCTCCAACGTGTGTGTGTAAATTGGAGCAACCCTAAAGTTGTAATCATCAATAATTCTGGGAGTTGAGGATTATTATTACTACTATCATTCTTTGAGACACATGATCAAATACGGGGTCTCCGGAATTCTGGCTGTTTTTTTGCCTCACTTTACCCAATGGCACAGATGACAATTACAGGACCTGTATTTGTGTCCCAGTTGAGATTATTCAGCTCAGTACAGGCCAGGTTTTAAATCTGCAAATTTTCAGTCTTGCGCTGATGGGACCTTTCCCCACTAGGCAATTCCTTCCTTTAACTGAAGATAAACAATGCACATAAAAATCCTGCTTGGGAGAACTCTACTCCTATATTAATTATAATTCACACAGTGCCTTAGCACATTGAAACATCTTAAACTACTTTATTTTTCAATTAAGTGTAGTGACTACATATATGCAGGTGAATGTGGCAATCAATTTTCTCACAGCAATGACCCATAAACAACCATAAAGCAAACAATAATAGTTTGTTTGTTTGTTTGTCTGGGGGAGTGTTGATCAGGATTTTGGAAGAAACTCCCTTCTCTTTTCGAGCAGTGGCATGGCATCTTTAACACACACCTGATCAGAACTTCAGTTTAAAGTGTCATTCGAAGGCTGATAAATAGTTGAGTTGGAAGAAGTTCCTGCGAGTCCGCATTATGTACTTGTTTCCTGATTCCTTGTTTAAAGAATCTGTTTCAAATTGTTACATTTTAATTCCCATCACGGAGAGGTACTTGCAGTCTTACAAACCAGACACTTGGGAAAACAGTGCCCACCGAAATCGAGTGGCATTTCCATTCTCCATAAGGTCTCGCAAAAGTACAGAGACAAAACAACAACAACAACAAGATTCCATTTATAGAGCGCCTTTCACGTCGGGAGGACGTCTCAAGGCGCTGTACAGTTGGGTCAGGACCCGAGCAGGGGGGAAATGGTCAGGGTGAGGGGAGGGAAGGGAGGGAGCGAGGAGGGGGTAGAGAGTCGAGAGGGGAGCTGAAGGCACGGTCAAAGAGAAAGGTCTTGAGACCGGCCTTGAAGGAGGAAAGGGAGGAGGCGGCGAAGGCACTGGGGGATGGAGTTCCAGAGCCTAAGGGCTGAGAGGCTGAAGGCCCGGCCACCGATGGTAGGGCGGTTGGGGCGGGGGATGTGGAGCAGACCGGAGCCAGAGGAACAGAGGAACGGGCAGGTAGGTAGGGGGATAGTAGGTCGGAGAGGTAGGAGGGAGCGAGGCCGTGAATGGCCTTGTAGGTGAGGATGAGGAACTTGAAATCGATCCTCTGGGGGATGGGGAGCCAATGGAGGCGAGGGAGGGTGGGAGTGATGTGGTCCCGAAGCCTGGTGCGGGACAGTACACGAGCTGTAGAGTTCTGAATGACCTGCAGCTTGTGGAGGGAGGTGCCGGGAAGGCCGACGAGGAGAGAGTTCCCATAGTCCAGCCTTGAGGTGATAAAGGCGTGGACCAGAGTTTCAGCAGTGTGAGGGGTGAGGTAGTGCCGTAGTCTGGCGACATTCCGGAAGTGATGGAAGGCGGTGCCAGTTGTGGCGCGGATATGGGGGAGAAAGGACACCTCAGGGTCGAACAGAACACCGAGGGTCCTGACCGGCTTTGAGAGGTGGAGAGTGCAGCCTTGGATGGTGATGCTGTCAGCGCCTGAGGTTTTGTCCAATGAACAATCTCTGAAAACAGATGTGTCTGAGACGATGAATGTCCAGAATGGTTTCCATGCTACTTTCAG